TCAATGACCAGCAGTAATCAGCCATCATGCTGATGTTCCACCCTCTCTGATACCCCCCCTCTCCATTTCCCTGATGTCTTGATGAAACCCTTTCCCTTGTTTTTCGCTGACGCACAGAGATTTTCAGGGAAATAGTCAATATGTGAGTGTAAGAAATAAACTTTCAAGCTCATATTACAACCAAACTCTTTGAATTTATCGATAATGTTATTGACAGTATTTTCGTAATTTGGGTCTTTGTTGTTTCCTAAAAAAATTTCAATAACATCTTTAAAGGCAATCCATGATTCTTTTTCAACTTTCTTCATTGTTCTTTCGAACTGTTAATCCGAAGTCAATTTCCTAATCTGAGGCCCAACAAAAATCCATTCTTTAAGTTTCGCTTCTGAAAGAGCTGAGAATTGCCCACATAGATACATGAAACAGTCGCCATCTTTGTCTAAGGCATTTACAAACTGCTTCATCAAACCTAATTTTATGTGAAGTGGGGGTAATAGGATTTTCTTTGTATCAACCAAACTTTCACGATCCTGGTATCAGGCTGACTCTGCGTGGCCATTGCTTCTTTATCCAGTGCTGATTTCGTGCTCTGCTGTCCCATTCACACAAAAAACATGGAAACTTTGTATAACCGGATTGTTGGCCCAAAACATACAAAGGACTTATAAGTCTCCACAAAGTAGCCAACTATGTTTTTTGTATTTGATATTATTAAAAGTTTGAGATTTTCGTACGTTTCCTTCAAGTGAACAGAATGAGTAATAGGAACAGATGCATATATGTTACCGTTGTGAAGGAGAACACCTTTTAGACTTCTTTTGGAGGAATCAATGAACAATTGTCACTCACTTGGTTCATCGACTGCAGCTCCAAGTATTGGTATTAATTCTGCAATACTTTCCCGAAAAGCATGGTATAAACTCACGATTTATGTACCAGTAAAATGATGTCCCTGGAGGACGTAAGTTCTTAGTCCGAAGTCTGGACCCCAAAATCTCTGAAGAACCCTTTGGAAGCTCCAAATCTTTCACCAAATCATTAAATTCACCTTGTGTGAAAAGTTGTGGTTCACCAGCCGTTTCAAGTTGAAAACAATACCTATCATTGCTATTGACATCAGATTCAGAATCAGATGTAACAGTATCAAGAGTCTCCGGAGGAGGAGGTACAGGTACAACAGGTCCATGAGCAACAGGTCTTATAGCAGATTGAAGATTTGGATAAGAAACTTCCTTTTCATTTCGAGTGTTGTAGCCTTGCACGTTAAATGAGCAAAAATAGCTGTTATCTCCAAAAGGCAAATACTTTTTCTTACCTTTAGTCTATTGTCTCAACTCTTCAACACAAACTGTGCAAACTCTGTACAGAGCCCATGATTTGTCTTAGTCCCCAAGT